ATTTAACAGGCATGGGAGCCTGTCTCCTGAGAGTGCTGATCCTTTAGGAGTCCCTTGGGTGGGCATGCAGCCCTTGCATCGTCATATCCAAGTGATTCAACCTTCATCTCACAGCCACAAGTTCTGACAGCCTGGGAGGCTGCAACAGAAACTGTGAAAAAACAGAGCCTTGGAGTCACAGAAACCAGGCTGTCAGGTACAGCTCTGGCTGTTCTTGAAAGTCTTATTCCATACCCACCTCTTGTAGGAGTTACAGACAATAATGAAGGGTACAACTGCAGGTGTTGGGCTTAGCTGGCTCCCAGGGTGCTAAGTTAAGTGCCTAAATGGCTTTGTGAAATTGGAGAGAATGGGGAGATGGCACAGAGATCTCTTCAGCACATGGTGGGAAGTGACTGCTTCCTTTTGGGATGAAAGGAAGAGTCAGGTTGAGGTCCATCCTTCCCTGTGCTGAGCATTGCTGGAAACGTCTCTACTACTTCTGAACCAAATGGTGTTGGTCACCACCCCAGGCTGATCTACACCCTGTGAAACGGGATCTGACTTGTGCAATTGCCCTACACCTCACTCTGCTACAAGGCAGCATTTTGAATGAACATCCATCATGAATGTCTTTGCACTTTAGGCTGATCTGAGTTGCTGAATTTAAATGATGCTGCTTTGGCCTCTTCTTATGATAAACCAGGCAGTCAGTTGTTAGTTATTTGAGTGATCTTTCACCTTAAACTGGCCTTTACTTTAGAGCTGAATCTCCCAGGTAGCATCCAACCATTGACTTTTGAATTGCCACTCCAAAGAGCAGCTATAAACTCATGCTTGTATTCCCTATGTTTTAGGATACAAGTATTGAATAAACTCTTCAGAGCCAGAATAAAGCTTTACCTTACCTAGGTATCCTGTTTTTGAGGTATCCAGCCAAAATCTTTTAAACAAAAGATTTTCACTGAAAAATCATCCTTCTGTTATTTAAAATTGATGTATCTGAGCAATTGAGATCACATAATGTAGAAGAACATCAAGTCTCTTTGCTCTTGAACTTGGGCTCTCGTTTCACTTAAGCTGACCCATGCAGAGCAGATCACTGCTTTCAGTGGTATGTATAAAATGCTGCAATAAACTGATTGTGACTTGTCTGAATTCTTTCCTGAATTTAAAACAGGGATATGTGAGTCCCATTGGAGGTGTGCATTACTTCTCTGTGTGAGACAGTACCTGTATGCTAATAATGGTCATGAAACTGCTGTCTGCCACTGAAAACTAGCCACTGTCTTATTTCAATGAAACAAAAATAAGCAAGCTTTTTGGTCTGTCTTGCTGAAGATCTCAATCTTAACCAGGGAAGCTAAACAATAAGCTAAATTCTCCCCTTGTGAGTGAATGAACTGCTGCCAATTGCAATGGTGCTTTTTTCTGTGGCCATCCGCTCATCATGAAAGAGAAAAGGCTCCAAAATGAGCACTGACCATTGCACAGATGTTGGGTGGGGTTTCCAAAGCCATAATAAGAACCCGGCATCCAAATTCCCTACAGGTTAGTGGGATCTGACTTACAGAGTTCCTTAGTAAGCTTTAAGAAACAGCTGTAATGTTTAAAAATATCCAGTCTCATCTGACTCCCATCAGAGGCCTAGAAGATACTATCAGATTGACTTCTGCTCACCACACTGCCTATAGAGTGATTGTGTAAGAAACAGGAAAGATAAACTCCTGAGGCATTGCCTCTCAGGCCATGATAGCAGAATATATGAAGAATAACAACAGGAAGGAAAAGGAGGTCTCCTTAAACAAAGAAAATAATAGCTTTTGTAATGATCCAAAACCTGTGCTGTGGAACACTGCATTCTCCACACTCAGTCATACACCAGCCTCTCAGAGAGTGGATAGATTTGTCAGGAATTCTGATGCAAAACTGTCTTAATTGTCCTTGAGGGCAGTGAGCTCTCAAGTGAGGTTCATCGAGTTTTAGCCAGTGCTGGAATCAAAGGGTCTTCCCCGGGCAACTGGAAAACTAAGAGAAGGAGCAAACATCATCACAGCCATGCTAGAGGATTCACATCTGCAGGAGCAGGAAGTAGCAACCCCCCAGATTTGGGCCAGATCAAACTCATACAAAAACAGAAAAAAAAAATAGAAAAAGTTGAAAGCCCTGGCTATCATACTTCCAATTAACCAAATTCTCTCACACCTGAAACTTATATAAAATCCTAGCCAGGCTGGTGTCTGTGTTTCAAAGACCAAATGAAAACAATGTGAAGGACCTTTGGCTTTGTGTTTCTTTCAGTTTCACACAGGGAGGAGCAATGGTCCATAAATATCTAATTACTGCTATATAAGCCACTGCTATAGAGTGTAGTTGGAGCAATGAGAGAATGTGAGTTTTCAAGTAATACACAACATTGACTGTGGTGATGCTATGGTGAAAGACTGAGTCCTTAATTTTAGCCAAGGGAATTATATGATGTGGGTAATAGCAGGATGACAACTGTGTTATTCCAGCTCTATGTGTCAAGTACTTATGCAAACAGTCAACATTCCAGCATTACCATTAAGTCAGTTGTTTTCTTTCCAACTCTGCATGGTAAAATATTTCTAATGCTCCACATTTTTTCCTCTGTTGCCTAATATCTCCTGTGTGAAAAAAAAATCACACAAAATGCTGTAGGTTAGATATTCAAGTATTAAAAGCAATACACTCAGAAAGGTTCTGATGGCTTGTCTTCAAAAAGTTCAGATTAAATAACTTAAATGGCATTAACTTGAGTTGTCTGTGTGTGTGCTCATAGGAAGTTTTAAAGAATGCTAGACTTTTAAAAAATTATAGCCATTTCCAGTAGGAAGGAGGAAAGCATGGCTCTAGTTGTGCTTCTGTGCATTGCTTCAATACCAGATCACTGCAGTCTTTGGTATTTCAGTTTAGAGCTCAATGACCTAAATAGTCTGGGAATGTATTTTTCTTACTAGGAATTATATGTGGGAGCAGACTTGGCCTCTCAGTATCACTAAGGCTAAAGTTTCCTGACCTCTGTCAGTCAATCCACATGTGTGCTTTTCTAATTAAATCTCCTCTTGTATTTGACCAAGATATTTCTAACAGTGTGGTTCCCCATAAGAAAGAAGAGTAAAGTCAGGAAGGTGATGAGACCCACAGCCAAAAAGACTGAATCACTTGTGCTAATGCAAAAATTGTCTCAGAATTCAAAGATGTTTGAGCTTAAGGATATGGGATGGAAGATGTGTGAAGATGAGGAAATGTGGAATTACAGGAACACAATGGATCATGAGACTGTATTTATCAGCATCAAAATGTGCCTTGACAGAAGCAAGTTTAAAGATGCCTGGAGAGTGAGCAGGACTAGCATAAGAGGAGGGTGCAGAGAATTGGGGAAGAATATATTAGTGCTTTTTTAAAGGAGGAAACCAACAATGAGCTATAGAAAAGACACTTCTAGGGAATCTGCAGTGAGACAGAGCAGCCTAAAGAGCTGCATCCACTATAACAGGGTGTGTGGGAGGCAGTCAGTCATGAAATAAAGATGTTTTACTTAAAGAGTCTCTTTTATCAAGTTGGCAGTCGAGCTCAGGAGGGATGACTGAAAAGCCCAGTCAGACCTGTCCATCTACCAGTCCTACCAGATGGTTAAACCTGTAATTAGGAGCCTACAAGGCTAAGTTGCTGCATTCCTAGCTCAAAATGAAAAGTTTTTGTCAAATTCCTGGGACATTTCTGCATCCAAGGTGGAGCTGAATAGTGAGTGTGAAAATATTATATATTTGGCTTTCATTAACATAAATCAATACTGAATCCTTTTAAATCCCTTCTCTGTTTACCAGTTCTATGGGTAGCAGAATAATACTGGAGTTGCTGTGACCAACAGTTAGTTCTCAAATAGGGCAAAAATAAAACCAGTCTTGCCCAAGGAATCAGAGTTGTTGTATCTATGGTAACAGCAAAGAAAGCATCCTCTGTTGAGATAGATGTTTAATATCTGGGCTTTTTAAAAAGCTCTTAAATAGTTTTCATTTTTGTTTTTTTGGTTTTTTTTGGTTTTTTTTTCCCTTTATAGTTAGCTAGTTTAGGTATAGCTAAGGATGGAAAACAGAGTTTGAGTTCTCCATATTTACTCTTTTATATTTAACCAGTTAATGAGCTTCTTGTTTCTTCCAATCTTTTTACTGTTCATTGAACGGGATATAAATATAAGAACTAGGAATGTTACATGTTTTTTCTTCTATCTTGGTGAAACCTTTGGAAGCCTGGATACATAGCAGACAGCACTAAGAGCTCATGTGCTGTCAAAGGGCTCAAGCAGCAAACAAAACTTTATTAGTTGTTTTGCTAAATCATTTCAGTACTGCACAAGAAATTTGTGTCCTACTGGGCAACCTTGATTTTACTTTCTGTGAGGTCTCATGGACATGTGTGTGATATACTGTCAACTGCAGGCTGTCTGTTGCCAAATGATACCAGAAATAAATTAATAGCCTAACCCAAAATACCTTCAGAGTCATTAGAGATATCCTATGATTTTCCTTATGCTTCCAAAACTATTGTGTATCCCACCTTCTTCTTAAAAAAGATAGATGTCCCAAGGATGGCATGTTCTAAGCTTTAATGAACATATTCTTTGCATTATCTCTTTTGTGCACTCTGCTTTATCCAAATAGTCTTCAAATAATTTCAGGGGATCATGAATATAGCATGTGCATGACTTCATGTGAACATACTCAATGCATACTCTTGATTCCCTTCTTAATTGTTCTTCCTTCCTATTTTAGACTTCTTTAGTTTTCTCCAGAATGCCAAACCAGGCTCTGTCTCCTATCAGCAGCTCATGAGAGGATGAATAAGAAAAAAGGACAAGACAGATATGACTTTTAACAAATCTGAGTCTCATCAATGAGGGAGTGGCTTCTGAGTGTTTTAATGTATGTCCTTTTCTGGCTGGTGGTACTAGAATATGCTGGCATTTGTGTAGTTGCAAGAAATAAAGACCAAGTGTATTTGGCTTGGTTTTGCAGTTTTTATTGATACTTTATTTTTTTTTTCAAATTACAGTCTCTTTTCATTTAAAACAATAGCTGTAGTGCTTATTTTGTGCCATATTAATAAATTTTCTTGAAAACTACTTTATTGAAAGGTCTAATTGACTTGAGAAAGTTACTTAAAGAATTGAGAAAGTTAACTAAAGGAAGGGTTGTTCATCTGGTGTGAGATGGATGTGTGGATGCACAATTGTGTGGCAAAGCCACCCCACAGCCCTGTGATTCCCTATCTGCTGTAAGACACCTCATCCCCCAGGGGCTGGCTCTCCAGGGAGGTAACTTCACTTGGAGTTTCACCAGGCTCTCCACCACTTGCACTTCCTGAAAAGACAATACAATTAAGATTAAAATTGGTGTCATATAGTTGAGGCAGCAAGCTACAAGGCACATATTTTGTCAATCACTCCTGAAAACCTTTCATGCAGCTATAAATGTTCAGGAAACTGTTTTTTTCAGTTGGCAATCCATTTGCAAAATGCTTTAGAGTAATGGTAGACCACCTCATGGTAATTAAGTATTGTCCTTTAAATAACTGCCATTGGAATACATAATAGTTTTTTCTCCACTCATGCAAGGCTTCATTTTCTATTATCTCCTGAAAATTCCCTGCCAGGTAGGAAGTGTGGGCAACATTAATTTTTTGTCTGTCTGTTATACAAAAAAGCCCCAAACACCCACCTCCAACAAATTTCTTTGTTATCTTTTAACTTCTATGATTTCAGTCTTCAACCCTATTTCAGTGATGCAGTTGCCTCAACACCACCAAGTTATGTCAAGAAAGTGTACTGAGGGTATTTATTTAATTCTCATAGCCAGTGTTCCCATTGCTGCACAGATGTCTTTTAGACTAAAGGAATGTTTTCTATTTGAGATTCCTAAATAAGAAGGTGTGACTAGAAAGGATAAAAGATGAATGTTAACCATGACATTCCTGATTCAGTTTTGATTCAAGTCTGAGCTCTGAACACTCTTACTTTGTCTGGACTCTTGTTTGGTTACATAAGGCATCCCAGAGCTCATGGAGAAGGCTTCAGCTTTGCTTGAATTTTCTACAGATAAAGTCCAACCTGGCTAACTTGGGCATGGAAAATATGCCTAAAAGTCAAAATTTAGGCATGTGAGTTAGGCAGACATGATTTCACTGTGAGACACTAAAGGCATCCCTTTCTCCCCAGCTGCAAGACTGCTTACAGAGGCACTTGCTTTAAGAGGATTGGTTCTGTTTAGAAACCAGCTAGAGTAAGAGATGCAGACTGGATCCAATCCCACCTGTTTGGGATGCAAACAAAGGGACTCACTGTCAGGCACACACAGTCCACCACACTACGTAACGGGAATGTTAGCATCCAGACATCTGTCTGAATATATATAAACATTCTGGAGCTCCTGTTTTTAACTGAATTTCTAACTGAATTTCAAGTTATTAACACATTCCCTGGAAAAAGCCATCCACAGCTCCCTTTTTCCACGATTGCCACTCTTCTTGTTTCTCAGTTTGATGTTTCCCATGGAAACCGTCATAATTCAAAATATAAAGCACATCTTTGAAATGCAGCCATGGGAACTCCAAACCTCTTTAAGCACCATCACTTTCATAATTCCCCAAGCAAACTGCTCCCCAAAATGCCAACTTTACAACTGGTCTCAAACAAAACTGCAAGAGATTGTTAGTTCATTGGCAGTGAAACAGACCTCAAGTTCCCTCCATAGTTTGTAATAGCACTGCCAGCAAACATTATGATGAATCATTACATTTATTACATGGATTTTTAAAAATTATCTTCAAATACAACAGCATACATTCCAATTATGTGCCAGGGACAAATGATACATTCTGTCATTAAATATTTTGGTCTGATCACAAAATAAAACACTAACTTGGACAATTTTTTTACTAAATGGAAAGAAAATTAGAGGTAACAGTTAAGATAAACAGATTCTATATCCAGCATTGAATGACCTAAAAGATATCTCAGATTTTTAATATGAGAGGTTTTATTCCAGAACCTGAAATTTATGAGTTTAGCTTAAACCACAGCAAGGAATAGTTCATTTTTCTGTTGGACAGAAATATTGAGCTTTGAGCCTTTAGTCATCCCTGATTTGACATTTCCAAATCAAGACATTTCCCATCACAGTATACAAAGGATTGAGAAAAATTTTTAAATGCCAGTTCCAGCTATATTTTATGATCATTGGTTTGTTCTGTTCTTCTCCATTTTATTGAAATATATTGGGGATTTTTTTGCTTATAGATTCCAGATGGTATATGAAGCTGGAAAAATATTGATTTCAGGGAAAAGATGAGATTAACAAAAGAGGATTCATCACAGCTAGTTGAGATTGCATCATAGTATATCCTGTACACCTTTGTACTTAGATGTGAAGACTGGAATGTTTTGTTATCCATGCTTTTCGCTGGCACACTTGTAAATTCCATCTGCTTGGCATGAGGCCACAAATTGCATCTCAGAACAACAATCCAAGAAACTACCATGAACTTTTATAATTTTTGAAAGGCAGAAAAGTGTTAGATTGGTTCTCAGGGTAGCTGACAGACAAATTAATCCCCCTCAAGAAAGAGTACAAAGTACAATATCCAAAAATATTGCAACATTGCAATTTGCAGCACTGTTCTCTCAAATCTGTGTTCAGCATATGCCAAGGTCCCACAGGACAGCCTGACAGCACTCCAGGAACAGAGGCTGGAGCAACACAGGTTCAGTGCTTCAGATCTGAAGGGAGATACAGCAAACTACCTCAGGTGCAAGGACACACATCAATGAGGTAAAAACATGATGTATAGGGATTCAATTCCTGCAGAATCAAATTTTTGAGAGCAATGCAAGTGATGAACTTGTACTTGTAGACTGACACTGCCTTGGCATGAATTTCAGCACAACATCTTCTCAAAAATAAATTAAGGGTGGTCAGCCAACACCATCTGACTTTTTTGCAGTCTTTCTAACCGAACTGATAAACATTATGAATCTTTTTTCATGAGGACCTGGGCTCAGATTTTTATTAAGAGACTCACAAGATGTATCTCTGTAAGTTAACATCCGAGACTAAGGGGTCTGTAGCAGAAAAGGGTTTGATGTGATGCCTATTTAAATGGTATTAAAAAGTTTAGCATTCAAGAGAGAGAACAAATTAAAAATTACTATCAAAGCAAAGTGTGAAGCCAACATTGATGTGAGATGGAATTTAGCAGAAATCAGCTGTGTAACTGCATTACCATGGTGCTGAGGCCAAGCAAATACTGGCTTAAAGAGCCAGCTGGGTGTACTCAGTTCTGCTTGAAGATTAACATGCACTTTTGACATGTACTTTTTAAACATTTTCTTGACAATCCATGCTCCATAAATTTCACACTTTATGGCTTATTTTCAAGAATTTTACTCAACTTTGTGAACTCTTCAAGTATGTTTTTATCTCACTCTCTGTATTTTTATGTTTAACATGCAAGTATTTGGCTTTGGCCATGGACAAGAGAAGGATATTGAACTAAACAGATCATTGGACTAACACATACATTAATTTTGTGTTACTATGACAGTTCAGATAGTTTTAAATCTTGTCTATGTCAAAAACAATAGGCCCTGGTGGATATTTTCCCACTTTTGGGGGAATTTCCATAGCTAGGAATAGTCTCTGTCCGTGGTGCTTGGACAGCAGGCATTCTACTAGAATTGTGACTTCAGCCCAGTCTGGCATCACACAGCCACAGTGCTGTGAGATGAGGTCCAAAAAGATCTAGAAGGTTTTGCCAGGACTGTTTAAACATCAGAATAAAGCTGTGAAAATTAGCAATATCTCAATCAGCACAAAGTCATAGGAGAGATCAAAGTATCCCCTCTGAACTTGAAAGACATTGAGGGATACCAGGAAATTGATGAAAAGGCTGACAACAAAATCTTGACTCCACTTTGGAAGAAAGACCATGAGTAAAGACTGAGGTTGTCTATTGAATGAGAGAATTCACGCTCTGTGTTTGCATCAGAGCCACCAGTTTGATGGTTCTGAGACATTTAATTTTGTGTCACTCAAACATCAGCCTCAGCCCATCTGAGGTCTCATGTCAGGAACAGATAGCCTGGGTAGCTTGGAGTCTTGGAAAGTACATTTTGTTCTCAGAAATTCAACAGCCCCCAAAGCAGATCAATCCTGAGCTGTATTCACTGTGAAGAGGAATCCTTAGGACATAAGAAACACATGCAAAACTTGCAGGCCTCCAAGAACAATTCAAAACATCTCTGCCTGCCAAAAAGGGATGGTTTTGTTTGCTTGGCTTGAGGCTATCCATATTTATTTACAAGATACACAGATATGAAGGGGAGTTTATTTACTAGAATAAATTCAGGACAGGCAGCAGATTGAAATCTAAACAGAGTTGGTTTTACTGTCCTAAGCAGTAAGAAAAAATTAAAGGGCTCTCATAGCTGCATTAAAATTTATGGCAAATATAAAAGGACACATGCAAGAGGCATAATCACCACAGCTATAAAAAAAGTCGAATAAACTAATCTAGTGAGAAGTCAAAGCATGCAGGAACCATAATAAGATTTAAGGCCTCAGCTAAAATTTTACAGAGGATGAAAATGATTTGTGCTCCTCCTAATCCATAGGAGTCTCAAAATTCTCATGTTGGTGTTTCTATTATACAGAAGAGGTCTATATACACAGCCTTCCAGTTTACCCAGTCTATATTGTGACTGTAAATAGGGAGGAAGTTCTCTATATGGCTTTGTCACATCTTCTACCACCATAATAAGGATATTTCTCTAGCGAGTTAAACTCCAGGACAATTAAGCTTTATTACACATTATCTGCTATAAATTAAATTTGTTTAGTGTTACATTGTTAACTATATACCCTGGACATTGCAAGATATTTAATTTGCAAAAAGTGCTTTTCCACAGTGACATAACAGCACTATAGTCAGACAAAAACATTTAGCAGAGAATTTAGGGTTTATCTAATATCAGAAAACAGTCTTCTCACCTGTGGATGCTTTCAGTCTTCTTATATAATCAGACCAAAAGGAACAGTCTGCTTTTTTCAGTCCTTTAAGAGTCGGCAGAGAAACAGTGAATTCCTTGTAGTTATCTCCATCATCACTTGACAGATACATAGGCCAGGCAGGCATCACCCCCAGCATTCTTCTTGAGAAACTGTGCTGGTAGTTTGGATTTCTAAGGGAGTGGAAGACATTATCAGTAGAAAAGAATGGCATGAACAGTAAAATGATAAGATTGGCTAGGTCAGGGAAATGTGTAACCAGTCCCTCTGACCAGCGGGGTTCAAATTCAGTCCAGATTGGTGAATCATTCATGGTGCCTCATCTGACAGTACCTTTTTAGTCTGGTTCACTTCCTAAGGAACAGAACCTGTACAGACACAGGCTTATGAACACCCTCAACAGCCCTCAATCCCAGCCCAACCCAAGATACTGCAAAAAGCACACTAAGATAGTGTTCCCACCATGCCTACACTAGGTTTCCAGAGATACTCCTCATTCTCAAGCATGGCCACAGCACAGTAGCACAGAATGAGGTTCACAGAGTAATTGGTAAAGGATGCACTGTGTCTTGTTGTGCTTTCCCTTTTCTTATGGGAAAAAGATTTAAGCATTGGGGTCCTAGAACTGAGCTCTGGAGACAACACCAAGGCCTTTGAATCTGCATGTACTTTAGTAGAATTTGCAGCTGGTCAATGGAGATAAAATGTCTATTCCTCCTAGCTAAGTCACATACTTTAAACCTTTGGTGGCTGCTCTGGTTGGTAACGTGGCCATGACTTTCCAGCAGTGTGGACGAAATCCCACTGTAGGTTTACAAATTGCAGAGGAAATGGAGAATGATTGAGGGCCTGGACTGATGACACTCCCTCTACTTCTCACCATCTCCCCAGTCACAGCAATTCTTAAATATCTCACACTTACCCAGAGTTTATGAAATTGGAGATATACTGCATAATTTGCAAGGAAAGGCCCTTTTCTTCATCAGTAAATTGTTCTTCATACTTTGGGTAAAAGGGTAGACCAAACGCATACTGAACATCCAACAGGAACTCCTGACCTGAGCTAAACCAAATATTTATAGAAAGGTAATTAAAACCATCATTTATTTATTTGTGGAAGAAAGGGAAATAAATTACTTCAGAGAATAAAGCAATGTTGTAAATAATTAATTAGAGTGCGGTGAGCTGTGGGACTTCTCCAATCTAAAACATAAATGAAGAGCAAGCAATAACAAGAAGAATTTTCCATTATGTTAGCGTAGGGTCCTTAACATTTGTTACAAAAGGAAATCGTGGAAGGTGTTAGGGCGCATTTTCTAAATTAACTGGGCGTATAAGAGAAAGTGATAGAGGGAGAAAGTCACTTGGCTGTTCCTTAAATGCCTCTTAAGTTTTGGACAGATTTTCACTAAAATTAAATTCAGAAAGTGGAAGCAAGTGGTGACATGGACTCTGGCAGCCACAACAGAAGGTTAATTATGGCTTATTTCACAGACTTGGAATATAATTCTGGCCTTTCTTAACAGCAACTAGAGTTTTTCCATTGACTTCATTGTGGCCAGGATTCTGGATAAGAAAAGATGAAACAGGAGATGTTTATGAAGATTTCTGTTAGACATAGTTTTAATCTAATTTCTCTTTTGGCTGGGTGGTTTTGGTTCATACACTCTGCTCATCCCAAGTTTTATATGGCAGACAAGTCAAAACAGCTTGAAATAATCCCCTAGATAAGATGTACAAAAGAACAACTGCTGTGTAGTTCCACGTAATACTTATAACTTATTATAAGGAATATTTCAACATTTCAGAGACAAGACGGGCCAGGTAAAACTTGCAGGATCTAATTGCAAATGTTACACACCTCAACATTGTCAAGTCTTGCAGAAAAACAGTGGCCAACTTCTACTAATAAAATTATAACTAAACTATGTTCTACACAGAGCTTTGAATCACAGCTCAGAGGAAGATATTTCTGGCCTGATCCAATTGTATTTTCCATATCCCCATATTTGAACAAAGGTCTTATTGACTTGGTGTAATGCTGCATGAAGGCAGACAGCATCAGGGGACCTGGGACAAGGAACAGATGTCTGGGAGGCAAGAATAAACAAATCCCAGATCCACTTTTGACTCTGCATTTGTCAAAAGGTAGCACAACTGAAACTATTTTATCTTGGACATGATATGCAGCAGCGCTGGTGTGACCCTGATACTGCCTCCAATGGAACAAGCAGTGTTCCACCACCACTATGGGCACCTGGTCTAAAAGTAAGATGAGTGCTTTACATTTTATGAGTGGTGGCACCAAAGCCTCTATTTTGAAAAGCACACAGCCCTCTAAATGAAATACATCTTGGGTTGTGTTTTCCTTAGTCTTATCATAATATCTCAGTAATACTTTGCATCTGGAAAGTGAATTATTCCCAGATTATTCACCAAAATAATGTAGAACTGAAACAACATTAAAGCATATTTTTCTTCTCCAAATATTTATAGAAGGATTAAGCAAGATCATAGTTTAATAATTTTGCCTTAAAAATAATTTGCTTGGCCCAGTACCTAACAGCAATTTCTAGTGTCAGTATTGCAGGAAAGGTACGATATACTTAAGGAGGCAATTTTCTTGGCAAAGAAGAGTCACTTTTGATTAGATTAGAGGACATGAAATTAATTGAGGTGCAATGAAGAGACAAATCTACCCATTTAGGGGCTGCATAGTAGAGGTGTACTTAGGTGTGAAGCTAAAATAAATAAGCTGGGACTGCGGGTTTCCCTCTAAATTAGATTTTGTTCTTAGCTCTCATGTTTCCAGAGGTGAAAACTGTTAAAGTCACAGTCCAGACTAAAAATTCAGCAATCTCATAAATAGAGAATTTATTTGATTTGAAATTATTTGTATGACTGTACTCGATTTGATACAGAGGCATAAAGTGGTACAAACCCCTACAATTTCACAGGCTGCTTTCAGTATTTCTGGTTGATGAGAAAAAAAACATGAGAATGAGAAAAAAACCTGCTAAGCTTAAGAGGGAAAAGAGGCACATGCATAAATGCACACAAGAGCAAGAAAGACAACTGGGAAACATCTAGATGGCAGCTGGATGGGAAATATCAGGAGAACACTTCTGCCTCCCTCCTCAAACTCTGATCATAAAATCATAGAATCACAGAATCATAGAATAGCAGAACCATGGAATGGTTCAGGTCAGAGGGGGCCAGAGGGAAGTGCAAAATGCCCAGAAGTACCCAAACAAGGATTTTGGAGTCTTGTAGGAGCTCTGAGCATACTTAAGGTAACACCAGGTGGTGACACTGTTTTTACTGGAAAAGTGGAGTGAAAGAAAGGAGAGATAAATAAGTATTTGTAGCATTGCTGTTGTACACTGCCAGCTCTGAAGGGAAGTTTTTATTTCCTGAGCTGCTCCAAACTGCACTCCCAGGATACCAAGCATGTGCTCAACAGCAGCAGCTCTAAATGAGGATATGAAGTCCCCACAACTGTTGGACTTCAGAGGACAATTTGACAGAAGGGAGGACTGCAGAGACAAGGGCAAAATGAGTTTTTAAGGAAATAAATTAGCAACTAACTTTCTCTACAGAAGTCCCTTTTCAAGGAACAGATCTGTTATTTTAAAGACAGCAGTGAATGTCATTATGTGTAAGGATGAAATCCTGGCTTTGGTGACTTTACAGGAGCAGTACTTTGTGCAAAGGTGGCTCTTCAGATCTTCTCTGTATAGCTTTGTTTTTTAAGATGTCAATATTTTAAAAAACAGATTCACAGCTCTTTTCATTTGTCAGACCAGTAAAGTAAGCCATGAGGAAGATAGAAGCCAGATCCTATGACTTTGTTAACACTAAAATGAGATCTCCCTGGGGAATTCTTACTTCACCTCAGAAGTGAAGTGCTGCTGGAGTCCAGTTTACAAAAAAATAGATGGTAAAATCAGAAACTCTGTGACATTCATAACCAACGATTTAACAGCAGGCCCTGAAATATCATTTGCTGGGATTTTTTATTTTCCCGTGCCAAGCCATTTAATTGGGAAGGTATAGGTCCTGAGAAAATTTTCCTTAAACCAAAGATGGATTTTCCATTTAAATTTCCAAGTAGGAAAGACAGAAAGAGATTACTCAGCCATCAGATACTTCACTTCTCCCTCTATAGAGCTGTGGCTACTTTCACATACAAAGGACAGTTTCAACAGGGAAAATTAAAAGATGAATAAAACAGAATTTAGAACAAAACCACCCTGGTTATGGTTGATTTGGTTTAAATTCTGGTTCCAAATCAAACAGAGCATAGATATAAGCCCCCATGTCCAAGAGATGAAGTTAAAATTTTTATCACAAGATTTTGGAACAGAAAAAAACCAAGCCAAATCAACAACTAACAAATAAAACCAGACAAAAACCCACCAAACCAAACTGCCTCACCACCACCACCCCAATTCAGAAATCCTCAAAAACTTTGTTTGCAAAATGGAATTGTCATTACTGGCAATCAATAATCAGGGCAGTCAGAACAGAAGAATATGATCTGGCAGATTACCATGCTATGTTAGGACTGAATGTACAACTCAGAGCTGAGGCTGCAGGGACCTCACAGTGTGATCCATAGCAAATGTGGACATAGATCTCATTTTGAACCTTGTCCTTGTTCTAGGTCTGGCTAATTATTTCATACTGGAAACTCATTTTAATGATTAATGACTTACTCTAGCCTAATATTTCTCCTTTTCCTTTCATTTAAAAATAGTCCTTACTCTCTGTTCCAACTAGTATCAATTTATCTCAAAGCATTTTGAGTCATAGCTTCTATTCTTAGTTGCCTTAATGTAGTTTTTGGTTCCTTTTTAAACCTCCACACAGAGAGAGAAGCCAACGTAAATTACCTCAAAATTCTAATGATATCCTATATGATACCAAAACACCAAACTTCCCACTGCTATTCAATCATTTAAATTTTAAAATAACAAGATAGATATAACTATCTAGAGTTCAGCTAGAATTACCAGTGATCACCTGAGAAATGCAGAACAAACATTGTACTCAAACTCATGTCAGTCACCAAATAAAGCAGATGTTGGCAATCTGTGACAGGTTGCTGAGATAAGAAAATCATTTGTCCTTTAATGTAAACTTTTGTGAGAGTAACTGCTCATTCTAACAATTCTGTGAAAGATGTTGTGTTACAGAAGAGATCATGGCTTTCAGTTCCCAGCCTCACAATCAAGGCCCTGTTCACTATCCCATTTGCAAGGACATGCCTATCACTGGGCAGGTAAAAATCCCCACCTCTTCAGTGTCACTTGGCTCTGCTGAGAACGGGTTATTTACATGCTGAGTGACTTGAACAGTACAGATGAAACCCAGAATCATAGGTTGCTCATAAATCTCCTGCTGATTTGAGTTGAAATAGGATTTCATAACCATTCTGTCCCAGGAGAAGAGGATATGATTTAAATAAAATGGGCTACTGCCTGTGTGCCCTTCTGCCCCCATTCTGTTTTTATTTTCAGTAAATGCATTTAAAATTATTTTTTGTAAGAACTGTTGAAAATATTAAATATGCTTAAATGTGCAATTAAAATTGCACCCATCTGCATTATCTTCACATTAATACCAGCAGATTTTTCCAGAGTATATTTGCATATGCAGTATCCTGAAAAGCCATTGTCCCATCCATGTCATGTGAGAGGAGCAGCCTGCCAACCCTGCACTTTGCTTGAACTGAAATGTTCATTTGTATGCCAAGAAAAAATAATTTTAAAATTATATACAGTCACATATTTTATGAAAGGAAATGGTATGTGATTGCAGGGAGAAAAAACTAATCAAAGGATAGCTGGATATTTATAGAAGTTCAGTGAGCCAATATGAGGCCTGGTGTGACCTCTGCAGTTCTAGGGATGCATTTGGCTCATTGTGTCTCCTCTCATCCTGAACTCCTGCCAAACAAATGGGGGAAATGATGTGAAAAACAGATGAACATTTTGCTTTCTTCTTTTCAGGAAAATCAGGACATATGGAAAAAGCTTAACTCCTAACAGGATTAAACTGCCAAGTTTATCCACCTTTGTACCAAAAAAGCCCTATAGATACATGTGATTTGCAAAAATATTATAGAGTTTGCTGTGCTTTTCCACTTGAATTACTCCCAACACACACAATGTTCCACTTTGCATTATAGCTGTGCCAATTAAAGAAAATAAAACTGAAATAGCAGATAGTAAATTCAAAACTCACACTAATTGAAATAAAATATCATAGATCTTAAGGCAGGAAGAAAGGAAGTACATTTATCAACTTGTCAGAACTCTTAAAGAACACAGATTACACAAATCTGCCAGGGAATTGCTGTATTTAAGATCTAGTAATTGGCATGCTGACACTTGATTGGACTTTTGGGAGACAGAAATTCATTTGTTTGTTCTGAATGGCTACTCTTCAGCTGAATGAATGGATGAATTTCCAGAAAAAGGTGATGTGTACATCCAAATACCCTAGATCACCAAGGAGAACATGGTGCTCAATATGCACTGACTTAGTGCTTATCTTGTAGATTACATTTGATGGGAACTGCCATCACAGCATATGGAGCTCCAAAATTGCTTTGTCATATTTCCTGAGTCTTTCAGCTGAATTTTGGCTCATTTAAAGATTTTTCTGCTTCTTCTGAGCGGACTACTTTGCCTTTGCAGACTTATTACTAATTTACAAGACCTGGAAAAATCTACTGAATTACAAAGGCCTCTAAACTACTTCACAGGAAGAAAAAACAAATTGTCCAGACCCCAAGGCTTTAGAAGCAGAGGAACTTTGCAAAGAGTTGAGAATGGCATGATGTGGCTGTATCACTGGGATGGTGTTTTCATAGCTGCAGCTGGCACAAAGTAGTAGAAAAGGCCAAAGGAATGAGAAGCACTTCCAAAACAACAATTTTTAGGAGATGGCTGGGAGTAGAGACTGGGATATAGAGCACAATGACAAGCTGTTGTTGCAGCAGGTGGACATAGGCCATTGTGGTGCTTGCCCAGCTATGGAACAATATGCATCTTGTCACCACCCCACTGGTAATTTATTTGCCTACTAGTTTTAGATCATTTATTTGAAGGCCAGAGGCAATCTCCTGTCTGCCAGCACAGCATTCAGTTTAGACCAAAATGTGTCCCCAACCTGTGGGGTGCTGGTATCATGGAGGAACAGCTACAGATGGGAGGACAGCATCAAGGGGACAGCAAGTAATGGATGGATTAAAGGACAGGGATAGGATATAATTGCTGTGGAATGAAAAGAGTAGAAAAATCTCCTTTAATTGAAGAGCTATTAAGTATAGCCAGAATTCCTGCCGCATCCATAATAAATAGAAACCAAGAATACTCCACATAGTTGAATGGGTTTATACACAAACATTTTTTGTTTTATCAGTCAGGAGTTCTCGCCCTCAGTTACAGGAATCTTAAGAAGTGTCACTGAAACCCAGCCAACTATGTGAGCCTTGGCACACAGCAGCCTTTTAATAACTCACACTAATGTACACCAGAGTCAGGAGGTAAAGACAACCCCAACCAAAATTACTCCAAAAAGGCAGCAGCTCATTAGCCTTGGGTGAATTTGTCCCATGCAAAATCAAGAAATTTTTTATGATGATTATTATGGTGATGTTAATGACTAGAGGATAAAGCCTCATTAAGTCTCCGTTTGATGCTTTTCCATCCTGCTGCTGATGATGTTCAGCCCCCCTCATTGGGCACAGCACTGAATTTTAAGCACCATCTTTAAGACAGAAAATTTAGCATCACAATGTGACTTGGAAACTGTGCTGGCATGGCAAGAAGTGCTTCTTCAATAGAATACATAAAAATCACCCAGAAACCTCTTGAAGAGTTAACAAGGCAAATCTTTGTACAGTTAATAATATTATCCTTGTCAAAACATACTTCTCCTATCACACATTTCTTTACCATACCTAAAGCTATCCTCCAGTTCTCCTCGCTAATCCTAGGCAGTGCTGAGCAGTCACATTCCTCCTACATTGTTTAGAATAAATGTTTACTCCAAGGCCTAAGTGTTCCCAAAGAGAGAGTGAGAAAATGGCAGCTGGGTCATGTATATATTTTTACCACAGATTATTAATGTGGGAGTTGGTTCCTCATTCAAATGGGAACTGAAGACTAAAGCAGACATGGTGTCATGCCAAGCTCAGGAGAATGCTACCACGTGGAAGGAGATATTATTTTGCTCTCTGCAGGATCCATTCGTCTATACAAAAACTGTCAGTTCATGGTTTTATGTGATTTTCCACATATGTCATAGACATCAACTTAGAGCAAGCTTTTTAACCCTACCCTTGTTTTAACCCTACCCTTTACACAAGCTTGAATGTGTGTGTGTATGTGTATACACTTTAGAAACATCCAGCTGAGAGACAAATTTTGGCTAATTTACTTTTACTGGCAAAAATTCCTCCCTGCTTAATAATTTTTTGTCTACTTTGCATCATTGTGGTTGAGTCAGTCTTTACTAGCTGACTTCTCCCTCTGTCTTGTTTATCTTGCTGTTAGTTATTAAGTGAAACAAGAGGAAATACCAGTACTTTTTTCATCCCTGCATTTTTAGTCTCTTTTCTGTTACATTTTGGGAGACACATAAAGTAGGAGAGAGGTGACAAAGTAGAAATTGAAGAATGTGTTGCTACACGGTGCCTTATCTAATTAGTGAATGTCTATTTTCTCAGACAGAATATTTTGTCTAAGAATAAATAGTCTTCCACTGTTTTAATTACATAAACATTATTTTAATGTACTTTTTCCAATATTCCTTTGAGGTAGCCATTAGCAATTATCATAGATTATATATAATTATATTATCATTATGATACAGATTGCAAACACAAAGAGAGAAGGTTCCATCTCCTGTGTAAACTGACTTCTTAGGAATATTTTAGACACCAAAGTAAAAAACCCTCATTATTTTATCTTTTATGTTACCCTATGGACATAACACTAAAAAAATTCCCATTTTTACTTGTTGAGAAATCATTATTCTATCAAAAGCCTATGAGTGATCAGGAATGTCTAATGAGGTTTTCCTCCAGCTACAAAAATGAGGGCATCTGATTTAGTGTGTGCACTCACAGAATAACCTGTACATGACTACCATGTGCAAATCATACTTTGCATTCATTAACACAAAGAAATGGCTCCAACAGGGTTCTGCTATTCAGACCTTTAACAGAATGTTTGCAGGGTTCAGTTCTCACTTCTGCTGAGCAAGGTCACAGCCACAAGTCCTGCCTTCCAGCCTAAGGTGTAGGTTATATGGGAGAGTACATGCCTCTGCTCCCCCCACCCCCAGGAGTCACAGTTTTCAAAGAACAACTTGAGAACTGTCAGGACTCTATTCCAGTGGTCACAGAAGTCTCTTGGAAGCTGGGGGCATGGTTGCCAGATCTTTCCCCAAGATTAGTCTATATATTCTATGAAGGCTGTTTCATGGATATCACTGGTTTTAGTCTGCTAAGATAAATCACTGATAATATTCCCAAGAACTGTTTTGTTGGTTCTCGATTCTTGAAGGTTTTCCATTTTTAGGAGTCAAAGCCACTCTCATTTGAAGCCCCTTCCCTCAACAGCACCACAGCACTGGCATGAGTGGGGCTGCAATGCACCTGCATTGAATGGAGGGGGGAATGCTCTGGAGAGGGTGACATGGCAAAGTGGGATGAAGAATAAAGGAAGATTCATTTAGGAATGAATGAATGAATGATTGAATGAATGACAATATTTAAATAAAATACTTGTAGTGTATTTAGCAGAGGACCTAGTATGGGGTCCCTTGGGAAAACAAGGGTATCACTTCATAAATAGACATGTTGTAGTGACAAATGAAATTCTTTCATACACAGACAAGCTGAATTCTGCAACTTCTGTTAAGTGCTTGCTTTTCAAGCTTTTTTCTTCAGCATTTATATTAATGGCACTTAGGATAAATAAAGACTAAAGGAGTAAGAATACCATGCAGCATACCAAGTTGGGCCATTTCTCCTTGCAAGTAACTTAAGGCAGTTGACCCTCTGCCTCATGTTCCCGCAAGTTTCAGACAGCATCCTGGCTTTGTTTGTTCTTATAAAAAAGCAAACCAATAACTTTTTCACTAAATTTAAAGTAATTAACCTAGAACACCAGTGTCAACATAAATATGATTAAAATGTGTAGCTACATGCTATGAAAACTATTGCTGCAAAGAAGAGCTTGAGGAGAGCTAAATAACATCAGCACAAAAGAAATCTTAAATAGGGCTTGATAGAAGAGAAAATTCTTATCAATTCAAAATCACTGCCTCAAAGCCAGTGAGTCTGAGCTCTATAACTACTATTTAATCTACTTACAAATAAGATCTAATTGTAGATGGCTGGGTCACTATCATTCTCCAAAGCAAGAAAAAAACTTGCTGGCTCAAATGAGCTCAAATGAGAACACATCTCTTCTTTTTGTGTGGCTGGATTTTTGGCATACTGTAGCTCAGCCCTGTTTGGAGCCTTGTAAAAATCCCTTATCTGGGCCTATCAGTAGCCAAATGGAACACTGAGAACATTCCCGCTGGAGCTGCCAGAGAAACAACGGCTCCCTGAGGATTAACCTCTCAGTTAAAAAGAAAGCAAGCCTGTGTTACCACAGCATAATGGCCTTCATCTGTAACCTAGATCTGGGCTGGCTTCTTTCAAATGCTTTTTCACTATATTATCAGGAAGGGAAAAAACCCGGGCAGTTTGCAGGGACCTTCACAGGATCAAATGGTGCCAGTAGGAACCCACCATCCCTCCCCTGAGCCCTTTTGGAGGAAGCTTGAGAACAAGGAAAAGGTCTCAAAAAGCCTTCCAGGAGAGAGGTGAGGGGCAGTCCAGGGGGCTGGGAACAAGCAGGGCTTCCTCATAAAGAAGCAGTATGAGGATAAGCATCCCTGTGTGTGGATTCAGGTAACAGAAGGGGCCACTGTCACTGCAGTTTCTGGTCACTAAGCCTTTGAGAGGAGGAGTCACTCTGGGGAGTCACAGGGCAGCCCAAAGTGCTGACCACTGCCTGCAAACATCCCCCTCTTCCTGACTTCTGCAAAGGGCTGGGTCTAAAATAAAGCCAGGGAAGGTCACCTTAAAGGCCTCTGTCTACCAGATTGTTCTGTGCCCAACAAGACATTGCATCTCCCACAGCCACTTAGGCCTTTCTGCCTAAAATATAATACAGCTTGTCCTGCTGACAATCTATCAAGTAAGCTTCTAAAATGAAGGATGACACAGAGTCTGAGTCCCCAGCGCTTGTATGCAAAAATATTTTTCTTCCCATGAGACAGTCTGTCAGCAGAACACCAGTCTTAGTGCCAGTACAGGAAGGAATAAATCCCTGAGCTCATCCACACTAAAGGCCAGTCAGTACAACTGGAATACAACTGCACTGACCTCAGAAAAGGGCAGTGTTGAATTAATGCTGAGTAATTAGAAAACGATACCACATTTATCTTGAGAGCCATGGACTCCTGATGACTTGGACCAAATTCTGATTCTTTGTGGGACATTTATCAGATGCAGAGTAGGAAAGGCTAGCTTTGGAACTGGTCAGGGTAGGCAAGTTGGAAAGGGGAAACTCAATTTAGATATCTAATGGGAAGTGCCTCAGTTCAGAAAAAGCATTCCTGTATAGTTAAAGAATTTATTAGAGACCAATCCCTCCTTTGCTCATCTGAACTGTTTATTTGATGTACCTACATCTATTCATCATGCCCAAGCAGACAGCTCTGGTTTTACAAACTCTAAATCCAATAAAATCCATCTCCTTACCTGCTCTGTGAGGAGCTCTCAGGTACATGGTACATGAAGACATTTCCTTGAGAGGCAGCAGCCCAGTAATTCGCCATGTTTATGATGGGACATGTGATAAACTGGTCACTGATAAAAAAGGAGGAGCAGAGAACAGACACAGCTGAGTAAAGGAAAAAAGGGAAGAACACCCACAAGCAACAGATCTCTATCTCAATAGTTTACTTCAATTTTCCAAACCAGCTCATATCTGTCTTCAAATCAACTGAAGGAAACCACATTCACTCTCTACAAGACTAGTACTACTTAGAATTCACTATAAGGGCTGTTTTATGGAGTGTTGAACAATGATAGTAAACCAACTAGATCTGACACATAAGAAATATTCTGACAAACAAACCCCAATCCCACTTTATTCTAGGTTATGAGGGCTCATGGTTATAGTAGTTTAAAGTTCTTTCTGGCACCACTAGGTTGTGATGGCATCTAATAAAAGTTCTTATGTATTTCTTAGTTTAAGGATCAATAATATAATTTCTGAATTTGTATGTGTGATTTCTTGGGTAGAGTTTCCAGACCTGGAAGAGGTAAGAGACCACTTTTGAAGATAACCTGCAGGGCTTATCAATATGGAATTCCTGTTGCAATATGTATGGGAGAGGAAGATTAACCAATAATAGTGCAATGAGGAGGTCTAGTGGTCAATTTAACACCAGGTGTAAAAGGCACAAGTGAAGCAAATGTATCCAAACCTTCCTGCCTTCCTTTGCCCCAAGAAGGGGGGCTGGAAGGTGGGGTGAGCAGTAGGTGGAAGAAAATGAGTGGTTCAAGAGGGACAGGTAGAAGAGAGGAGACCTTACTGCAATATAATTCACCGTGATTCCTCAAGGCAATATTATATATACATGCACCCCCACTCCCTGTTCTTCTGTGCCTGAGGACTCAGCACGTGCTTTGGGTGTTTATATACCTTTACCTAGGTGAGTGCACACAAACATAGCTGCTGAGGAAGTAAAAGGTTTCAATTCTCAGTTTAGTGAATCTGAAACAGCAGCTTCTTCTTGAGACTTGGTAAGTTAATAAAAAAAAAAAAGACTGGTGCAAAAACGAACAGCATCAGAGAAGCATGAAAACAATTTGCTATTTTTAACTAGTATGGTTATGAAAGACACTGTTTGGGTAGCTATCTTGGTTCAGCAGAGTTTATTTTAAGCTCATCTTTGAGGCCACAAGCTTTGGGCTGACTGACCACAGGGCTCTTTGACAGTTATGGTTGACAACACCCAAATGTAACTAAAATTACTGCTCTTCACATGCCTACCAGCATGGGGCTTTAGAAAAGCAGATGGTTTTTGAAAACCAGGAGTCTGGGGAGAGCAATAGCTCTCAAGAAATGCTTTGAGCTACATTTCATCATTTAAAATGGATTCTCAATTGGTTTTGTGGGTGGGAAAAAAGTCAGCTATTCTGAGGAAGTAGAGAAAAAACCTAAACACATAGTAACTACAAAAACGAAACTACTGCCTCTTACAAGCATAGAATGCCAGAGTTAAAAAAAAAAAAAAAAAAAAAAAAAAAAAAAAAAAAAAAAAAAAAAAAAAAAAAAAAAAAAAAAAAAAAAAGAATGAGAAAGAAAATTAAGCTAATTTTACACTTGGGAAAAAAATACCATAAAATTGCAGCTAAAACAAATTTAAAAGTAGAATTATTTTAAAACCACAAAATAGGCACACTGTATGTAGTTTATAACAACCACTTATGTTGCTTTATCACACTTGGTAATTCTCTTAAAACTTTAGCAGTTAATTCCTTACATAAAACTTTTCTTAGCTTACACATCTATGCTGATAGTAAGTTTTTTGTTAAAACGAAACAAAACTAAGGAGAAATAACCCAAAACCAAACCAACCAACCAAACATCAAAAAACCTAGAACCAATCCGCTGTTTTCTCCACCATGTATGGGATGCTGATATAGGTGACTCTCATTCTGTACCTACTGTTTCACCTCACTTTCTGCTGTAGCTGGAGTAATTTCCAAAGTGTTTGAAGCAAAGTATTATCATCAGATGCCCTGGTCTCACTACTCATCCTTTTGCTTGGCCAGGAATAAGCCATTCACTTCATTCCTTAGCCAAGGTACTTGCCTCATATAGTAAAGGAGCAGGTAATCCCTACACCCAGGAGGCTGCCAAGCCTGAGGAGCTGCTGGTGTATCCCATTCCTGCTGGAAATGTGTTGTGTATCCCATTCCTGCTGGAAATGTGTGGTGTGCCAGCCCTTGCAGCTTTGCAAAAGTCAATGTTTGCACCACACTGAGCCCTGGGCTGAATGCCAGTGATCAAATGTGACAGCCCTGTGTTATAACAGCTCCTTTTAGAGGGTTCTCTGGATGGGAAGAATGGTTAATATGTAAGTCCTGCAGTGGTTTATTATAGCTTAAAACCTCACTGATCTAAAGGATTTCTCCCCAGGGGTAACAGTGGTGATAGGAGACTGAAGACAAGTTCTGGCTTTGATGCCCATGAAGCACAGTGCTTCTACATGTACTGCAGGCAATGGCCCCAGTGTCGTGCTGATGGGAGGCCCATCCCTGGGACAGGCTACAAAGGAGGACAAATGTGGCAAGATGTGTGAGTTGATAAATGGCACAAAGCTCATCCCACAACCCTCAGGCTTGTTTCCTGCATGACCTTGGTGCACCAGCACACCTGGACCACCCAGAAGCTGCTGTCTTCTTTTTGAATCAGATGTTTCGCAGAGAATCTTGGCTCCTGTTCCTCTCTTGCTCCCTAAGGCTCTCCCAGAGCAATGTTCTGCAGCTCTGATAGAAGAATAAAAGGAAAATCCTGTCTCTGAGGTGCTGTGGAGAGGCTCACAGTGGGACAGAAAACACTGAGTGTGCAGATACCAGCAGCCTGTAGCTATGATGGCTCAGTTCAGAACACAGGTGGGACATCTTGGACAGGGCCATTAGGATTCATGTCACCAGTTTATAAGCTACATCCCATTAAAAAAGTAAAGAGCATTCACAATGAATCTGCTCATAAAGCAGAGACAGGAATAGGGAAATAATTTTTTTTATTAATTTCTGGAAAATTAGTTTCACTTACAAATCCAGTCCCTGAATTTGCTCAGAGGCAGAAAATAGGAAGTTTTCAACTTCCACCTCCCAAAGGTCCATGCAATGTTTCAATGCAAAGGATGGGAGGGCATTTACTGCAGGCAAGTTCCTCATTCCTCTGCTGACATGCATGAGGTGCTGGAGCCTGTCCAGAGCAGGGCAGTGGAGTGGGGAAGGGGCTGGAGCAGAAGACTGATGAGGAGCAGCTGAAGGAGCTGGGGGTGTTTAGCCTAGAGAAAAAAAGGCTCAAGGGGAACTTTATTGCTCTTTACAACTGCCTGAAAGAAGGCTGTAGTGAGGTGAGGATTAGTTTCTTCTCCTAAGTAACAAGCAAGAGGAAATGGCTTCAAGTCATGCCTGACATTGTGAATAAATGTGTTTTGCAGGCTTCATAATTTTAAAAAAAATATTGTAATTGCTGAAATCAAAGTTTTCAAATTTGACCATCAAGGAAAAGTATCTGACTATATAATTAGGGGACTGGGAATAAAAGGCAGACTATTCTACTGTCAAAGGGATGAGACAACTCAAGGAACTGTTGATACACAGCAACCCAGACATCTATGACATGAAAATGCAAAAAGAAGTATTAGTAGTCTGAACTCAATATCCAGTTCTAGAATGACATGTCAAACTTTTCACAAGGCATAAAAATCAGTTCCATTTCTGTTTACCAATGACATTGGAAACCTCGCAGAAAATGAAATAATATTCCCCATTTTCTGTTCATTTGCATAAGAATTTCTCAAGTTTTTCATAATAGAAATATTCATTTTAGATAAGCAAAACAAGCTTTGCTCAACTCCAATCACACAGTTGTACTAGGATGGCTTTCTTACCGGGTGGCATTTTCCAACGCCCTGGAAAAGGATGAATAATCATCAGTTGAGTGTTCTAGGGAGTAATACCACGTAGCTGCATCTTCAATTAATGAGTTGGACTCTTCTCCTCCTAGTGAATTTTGCAGAGCCTGATAAAAGGCTGTTTTGCTGTTGGCTCTTCCTTGACTTTCTTCAAATTTCTGAGAAAAAAGTGCATACATGGAATTCAGAAACAAAATCAAAATATAATTTTTTTTTAGGAACAATGTAGGCTCAGATCTCCCTCTGCTGGAACAAGTCCTCTCTGCTGTAATCTCTCATTCCTAGAGGATTGAGTAGAGGACAGTCCTACTTTTGCTTTCCCAAAACTGTCACCAATGAGAAATATTGGTTTCCTCTGGACACACTATAGTACAGAAACCCTGATCTAGTAGGTCCAAATCATAGGTACCAAGCTGTGCCAGTGGAGCTCTAATAGTACAGAAATCTTGCTGGCTGTCACAGAAGGGGTTCCCAGGGACAATCCTCCACTGCGTATGTGCCCAGGGCTGCCTTTCTGATGATCTCCAGGAAGGAAAACTAGAGGAGAGAGAGGGATTTACTGTTCTTTTATTTTGAAAATTGCAGGGAGAAACATGTTGTGTGGGCCATTGCATGGGCTGTGTCACTCTTCCTCTTCTGAGAACACCCACAAAGGAACATGACTGCTCCAAGTTCCAAATTTAGGTCCTGTCTGGAATAATATCTGCCTTAGACCTGGAAGAAAAATTCTGTTCCTTCAAATTCCAATGCAAGGAACAGTCATGATTTTCAAACTTCATAATCCTTAGGGCCTTTCAGAGAAACCAACAGGGAAATGCCCTTTTTCCTGAGAACTGTGACCTTTCCTAACATAAAGGCATGTTCCCCAGAGCAAAGCACCCATGTCACAGTGACCACCTTCTATGCCAAACTGTGTATTCCAAACATATTTTTACCAAAGCTAAAGACTGCTGGAATTTTTCAACACCTCTTTCTTTGAGTAAGTTTTCATGTTATCAATTGAAACTTTTGACTTTAAAAAAAAAAAAAATCAATTTCGGAAACAAAATAACTTGATGAAAAAATGAAAGCCTACCCTGAACTTTTCTGTGCATCAAGTCCTTTTTCTAAAGAGGGCATTATACAGGTGCATATTGGTTGAAACTTGGATAAGAACTCCAGAGAAAAAGATTTAACAAACCATCTCTATTCTTTTGAGCAGTCAGTCTGATGCAAACTAGGCCAGTGTCTGCCCAGTTTAGTTACTGTAGATGCTTTACTTAATATATTATTTTGATGGCCCACAGCTGGTTTTCATCATGCTGCTAGAAGGTCTTTCCACAACCCTCTACAGAAAGTACAGATGGAATTATACCTTTTCAGTAGATTCACAGAAATGAAAGGTGGAAAATAAGTCCCTCTGTGCTGAAGTTAAGGTTTGTCCTTAGTATTCTAACACTCTGTGCATTTAGAATAAGTGATTTTAAGGGATTTGAAAACTCTACCAAGTATCCCAAGGTCCAAGAAAATCTTGTCAATTTGCCTTGTATTTTTAACAGATTCTTTTTTTGCTGGATTTTAGCCCATGCAATGTGAAAGAGTCATGTGGTGCCAGCTTTAGTAATATAGCTGTATTCCAAAAAAATGAGGAGCTCACTCCTGACAATTCATGTGCACAAATGCCACATATGAAACTGCACAGCACTCTTGCCTGCAAAATCATTCATCTTAAAACTAGTAAGGACATGCATATTCTTCTGCAGGAAATAGAAATGCTCACTGAAGACCTGACTGCAAGTTCACTGAATTCAAAAGCAATTTTTCCGTCGCAGCTTTGGCACATATCAGTTCAGGTTCCTACTAAGCAGCAGAAGCATTGCTTTGTTTAGTTAAGAATCTCTCATTTGAAGACTGGGGTTAGCAGGTGTGGATAAGAAAAAACACTTTTATGTAGCAGAGCAAAGTCCAGTCTCTTGTGTATAAATCAACCCATACAAGCAACTTTCATATAGTGCTTTCATTTTGTTGGATTTCTAAAAGGGTTTTGTTAACTCGTTCTACTTTTGTCATGGATACTTAAACCAGAGAGAAACAAGGTGAAAAAACCTTAGGGTATTGATTTTGTAACCTAGGAACTTATCCATCACACTCTTATCAATGGTCAAGTATGAAATAAAGGTTATGGCTGAAGATCACAGAGAAGGAAATGGATCATCATACACCAACATATGGTTAAGGTGACAAACTCCCTGCCAAATGTTTTGCAAATGCCAAAAATTGGTGAAAATTAAGTTTCATTAATGATTTTTAATTTAAAAAAAGCAACCAAACAAAATAATTTGGTAGTTATTAAATACAGAAAGATCAGTTCAGGATAGGCAGTCTCTGAGCTGTAAAGTGCTAGAGGTTTGGGGAGTTTTTACCAGAAGTATCAGATTTGCTTACCCTAATCTTACAGCAGCCTCTTTTAATCACTGCTGAAAACAGCATTTTGTGCTGAACAGCCCTTTCATCTGACTCAGTGTGGTCAGCCTTGGGTATTTAATGTCAGAAGTCAAGGAGAAGAGGTAGAAGTCTAGCTTGGCTGGACAGAGATCTTCTCTTGGAAATAAGGTAAAAAGGGAAGGTGCAGACTCAGTTGAAGCAAAGTCAGGTGACATGGGAAAAATACGGAAATGCTGCTTGCCACTCTAGGGAGAGAATTCATGAATTCATTTGGCCAAAGCTCAAGTGGAGATGAAGCTGCCAGAAATATGAAGAGCAATAAAAAGGTCTTTTTCAAATATGCAGTGTAGAAATAACATGGGCCATTTCCAGAATGAAAATGGTCACTTCCCCCACAGGGACATGGACAAGGCAGAGATGTTCAATACATTCTTTGCCTCTGTCTTCAACACTGATGATGGACTATGAGGGCCTCAGTGCCCTGAGCTGGAAGACCATGACTGTGAGAATGATCAGCTCCCAGCTGACTGAAATTGTGTGGGATCTGCTCCAGCTGGATCCCTACAACTCTACAGGGCCTGATGGGATTCAGCTGAGAATGTTCAATGAACTGGCTCATGTAATTCCAAAGCTTCTCTCAATGATTTTGGGAGTCAGGAGAGGTTCCAGCTAACTGGGAGTTGGTGAACATTATCCCAATTTTTCAAGAAGGACAAGGAGGACCTGGGAACCTACAGGCCTGTCAATCTCACTTCAGTGCCTGGTAAAGTTATGGAGGAGATTATTCTGGGAGGTATTGAAAAACAGCTGAAAGACAGCACAGTCATTGGTCTCAGTCAGCACAGCATCATGAGGAGAAAGTCCTGCACATTAAACCTGTTTTCCTTTTATGACAAGGCAACCCACCTAGCTGGGAAAGCCAGTAGATGTAATCTCTTTGGATTTCAACAAAGCTTTTGATACTGTCTCTCACACAATCCTGGACAAAACATCCAGCTTCCACCTGAATAGCTGTGATACATGATTGGTGAGTGACTGAGTCATGGGTCAGACATCAAGGAGAGTATGGAATGGGGTGACAGCAGGCTGGTGACTGGTCCCTACTAGGGTTCCACAGGGCTCCATCCTTGGCCCAGCTCTTTTCAGCCTCCTCATTAATGACCTGGGCACAGAATTTGAAGGATGTTTGCCAATGACACTAAACTGCCAGGGCAAGGGCGGGGATTGTCCTGCTCTGCTCTGCTCTGCTCTGCTCTGCTCTGCTCTGCTCTGCTCTGCTCTGGGGCAGCCTCACCTCAAGAACTCTGTGCACTTTTGGGCACCACAATATAAAAAAGACATTGGGCTTCTAGAGAGCATTCAAAGAAGGGTCACAAGGATGGTGAAGGGTCTGGAGGGGAAGGCATATGAGAAGCAGCTGAGGTCACTTGGTCTCTTCAGCCTGGAGAAAAGGAGACTGAGAGGAGACCTCATTGCAGTTGGAATTTCCTTGTGAGGGGAAGTGGACAGGCAGGCACTGATCTTTTCACTCTCATGAACAGTGACAGGACTCAAGGGAATGACCTGAAGTTGTGTCAGGGGAGGATTAGGTTAAATGTCAGGAAAATGTTCTTCACCCAGAGGGTGTCTGAACATTGGAACAGGCTCCTCAGGGAAGTGGTCACAGCCCCAGGCCCATCTGATTTCAAGAAGTGTTTACACAATGCTCTCAGGCACAGGGTGGGATTCCTGGGATGTCCCATACAGGGACCCAAGCTGGACTCAGTGATCTTCCAACTCAGTGATTCTGTTCTACAATTCTACGATTCACGGTGCCTATGTATGAATTTCTGTGGTCTTCAAAATGCCCCCAGAACTTTGCAATTTTCAGAGTTTTCTCAGCAATAATTTGTAATATTTTGAGGCCCTCAAGATGTGTTGACTCAGATGAAAGAGAGCTCAACAGGCAGAGATGGATGATTAACAGAGCTAGCATTTGTAAGATAGTAAGAATTTTCATCCCTCAAACCACTAAAATAGTACAACCTGAAACAATTTCTCAAGAGTTGCTTTGGCTACAGTATAATTAAAGCATCTGACTTAAACATGACCGCCAAAACCAAAGCAATATGTTCAAAATAAAATTCATTAAACAGGAAAAAGACAAAATATTTAAAATATTTTAAAGAAGCATTAGAAATTGGCCTCAGAGTTATAGTCAGGTTTTATAAAAAATTATTTAGGAAAATAATTAAAGGCAGCATGTACACCCCTTTGTACTCTTCTGATGATTCAAAAACATCATAAACACTGCCTAAATAATGAGCTAAATACTGCTTACTATTCTTGTTGCTGCAGAATAGCTTATAGAGCATATGAGTAAAACTGGCCCAGTGTTTTACTTAAAAATAAATTGTAGTAGTAGGTAGACCAAGTATATATATATATATATCTATATCTATATATATATATATCTATATATATATAGATATATAGATATATAGATATATATTCCAAGGGGAAAAGTATTTTTTTGACAAACTGAAACAGTGATAATGCTAACAGTGTAGGTACAGATCTTAGGCCTTAAATGACTTTTGACAAACACTGTCACAGAAGATGGTGAAAGACCTGCCACCATTCAGCAGAGTCTTCCAAGTATCCAAGTATTCTAACTAGTTTCAATATGAAATAAAGAGTCCAGCCCATTCTCCTCACTGATCGCATTTATGGAGACACTTCTCCCTGGTCATTAAAACAAATATTCACGTATCTACCACTCATTGTATGTTGCTGAATACTGTTTTCCATAAAGAAATTAACTGACTGTAATAAATTGCAGGATGGTAGTTCTGTTCTGCACAGATCTGTTTGCTTAGATGAAGTAAATAAACTAGATTTCTATCTACCCACTCCCTATGTCCTTCATTTGTGTTCTGCATCCAACTAGATTGTACTAAGGAGGGAAAGAAAAATAAAGGAAACACATGAAATACAACGTTAGTCTTTCAAGTACATCCTTTCAATGTGGAGATTACACAGTAGGTGCTTAACATATGGAGGATACAGTCTGGGCTATACTGATCTCCATGCAGATACAGATAAACACAGGCATAGAGTGGCATGAGTGAATCCATCAATTTAATGCCATTAGGTCCTCCCACCTGAGGATCACATATAGGACAGGGATAAAATTTTTGTCCAATTGGAAGTTGAAATCAGCATTTTTAGAGGTTTCTGCTCAGATGCCCTAATCTATGACTGCTCAAACCTAATATTCCCTGAAGGTGTGCCATGGGAATTGCAGTGAATGGGTTCAGGCTTAACCACTCCATAGGTCGCATAATAGTGCATTATGGTACCACTTGCCATTCCCTTAACAAACTCTTCTTTGTTTCTCAGTTTCAACCTTGTGATTGCTGCACTGGAAATACGTAGGAAGTGCTCCAGGAAGTGAAAAATCTGGCTCACTTCACATGAATAAGCATTTCAGTGAATGCCACAAAATCGACATTTCATGAGCATACTCTCTGCTGCAAACATCACTGAGATACCTCAACCTTTAACTGTAAGCAAATAAAATATAAATGTTTTGCTAGCACATAGGTGGTGCCTTCTGTCTTTCTGTTTCATTTTTCACAGCAAAGACCTTAACAGGCACAAGCACAGTGTTGCAGTGGGAGTGAAGAGACACCCAGAGCAACCCAAGTAAGATCCCACAGAATAACATGGTGCCAACTCGATTTTCCACCTTCTGGTCTGGTTGCAGCCTAGAGTTTCACTCTCACTTCTACGTGAAGAGTGCAGAGTTTATAACCCTTGCATACAACTTCAGTCTAAGGTGATACGATTTGCATCGTGTCTCAACTTTGCTTACATCCAAATGGCTAAAAGTGTCTCCTTACCATTTACAGGATCAGTACTAAGGGAAATCAGAATTAATAGAGCAAGTCCTTGACAGAATTACCCAGCAGAGTTATTCCCAGGAAGTGGTGGAGCAAGTCAGCAGGGGTTAAATATTTTTACCCCTCACTCTTCACACTGTCTACACTGACATCAGCCATCCTAAAAGAGACAGAAATTAGGACTTTACCAATTCCATACACTTGTCAGAGCACCTTTTAGTTGTGTTTGTCTACTGAAATAGATACATAGCTCTCTCTGCAGAACACAAACACAGCCCTAGGTGGATTTTCATCCTAGGGAGGTTTAGTTGTCTCTTTTTAGAACAGATGAAATACTTTGGATGTAGTCAAAGGCAAACTAGTAATTATGCCTTGGTTTCCCAAGTTCAGCTCAGTGCTCTGTCCACCTGCTAAGCCTTCCCACACTCCTTAGTGTACCAGTAAAACCAGCTTTGACTATTCCTAGAGAGGTGTAAGTGAGACTTACCTCAAAGGAACCCTTAAAATTAATTATGCAGATGATTGGGATACAGGGTGGATTGTTTCAAATCCTTCTCTGAGGTCTATTGTGGGGAGAGGACATTTAGCACACGTTAAAGATCTCTTATGACATTTATGACAGAGGAAATGGGGTACAAATTTCCAAGTAACAACCACCATCTGCACTAGATTTTGTCACTGTGGCTAAATATGTCTATGGCTTATTCAGGACTTCATAATCAGATGGACTGCAACCATACATGGTCATGGCTAGCACACAAATGCTGCTGAGGACCTGCAGATTGCATCTTCACAAGTAGCTCAGTGATGGAAGGAGCATTACAGTTTCCCCAACAATTAATACCCTAACTGTGTCAACAAGGGAGAAATCAGGAAACTCCAACCTTGCAGCAAGTCTTTTAGAAAACAACCCAGACAGGAATACAGACTGGTCAAAGCATTCATATTCCCTCAAGTCCAAAAAAGCCTGAAGCCACAGGAAAATAGAAATAGAGGGAAATGTGCATTAAAAAAATCATCAGTAGATATGACCCTTTCGTACGGTTGAATTGCACCAATTTACTGATTCCCTTCCAATCTTATTTTCTGTAAGCCTTTAAATAAAAAGATATTTCTGGTTTTATTTTTAGACAGGCAAGATTTTTCTACTGAACTCTCAGTTGCAAGTGTTTTTTCTTTTTATTTCAGTCTAACAGTGCTGGGATTTAGCACTTGTGCGTTTCATCAACACCATGATTTGTGGCAAAATGTTTTAATACAACATGGAATTTCATCTCAATTTTGCAGACAACTGTCATATGCAGAAATAGTGGTAAAGAAAAGAATTTCACTTCCTAATCTTCATCACAGGATTTGTAATGAGGTCACTGAGGTTTGTTCCACTCTCAGAGGGTCTGGATCATTATCTGCAGGCCTCCAGCATTACACTATATCTTCTGTACATTTCTCCTATTACTTTCTCTTGAAATTGATTGCAAAAGAGAAAAAAATGAAAAAAGAACAGAAAAGTTCTGATAGAGAGTAAAAAATAATATGAACTTTAATTCAGGTGGGCCATTAATTCTAAATTAAATTTATCCATGTGCTGTTGGCTATCAGCATAGAGAAGCTGGGGCTGACACATCAGGCCAGTGCTGCTCCTTGTAACAGCTAGTCCATAGTCAGAATCATCTTTACAAGAAAATGTACTTCTAGGAAACAACAGAGGAAAAGGTTGCCAAAAAAACCTCAAAATGCTGATTTAATCCTGCTGCACAGTGAATAACTTTATATTTTAGTTGCTTTTATCTTTGTGAGATTGAAATATAAATAAGATTTTAAAGACAGTAGAACATAAATGCTGAATAACTTCTGGTCTCTTACCATTTTGTATCTCCCACAGAAATATTAATCAACATATGTTATTATGCCATTAGTCATCCTGACCAAGACTGGCTGGAGAAGGACAATGCATTTGCATATTTCTCTGGAGCCTAATTCATAACTTGTAGAAATCAAAAAGGATCTCTCCAGGCTGCATGTGATTAGTGTCATCACTGTAATCACAGTGATAGCATCAGTTCATTAACAGTGAGTGTCTTCCTACCTTAATTGCCTTGGCTCTGCTGATGAGACCATCTTGTTGAGCACTTCCAATGAGCAGATCTACTTTCCGAAGCCGAGGGCGCTGCAGGGCTTTAGCCAAAGGTTCCCGGAGGTAAATTCCATCCATCACTGGACCCCAGTACTGGAATGGGCCACTTATAGCTAGCAGCTATGTTGGGGAAAAAAAAAAAAAAGAGCAAGAATTCTACAGTTGATTCAGCTTATCCTTTAAATTGTATTTTATTTATGCTTAATTCATCTTATCTGATTCCCTTCTAGTGAACAAGTCACCAGGTAATCTAAGTGCAGGAAACAATGATTTTGCTGACAGTCTCAGTACGTGAAACAAACTGAAGAGGCCAAGAGAAATGTTGGTCTTATAGTCATAAAAATGCTGTTTTAAACTAAGGATTGACTCCATGCTGGTCCTCATTGGAAAATTTATTGCAGGTGGGTGTTTTAATTTGTGGGTAAAAGATTCGTCTTTAGAATTATTCATACTGCACCTTTCATAAGCGTCTCACTTCAAATACTGAACACTGACATCCCACCCTGGTTAATTTTCTGCATAAATTCTGTTATTAAAGCTACAGACATTTGACTCTCCTCTAGAGTAACACCCAGGGACAGTCAAGAGGGAACCGAAAGAAGGGAAAAAACAATATTTAGATTTATTTCATAAGACATTATTAAAGCAGTGTAATAGGAATTTAGTCTAAAGGAGAATCAAATTGTGAGTATTCACAGCTCAGAGCTGGATGTCATGGACAACAACTTCCTTCCACCAAAAATAGTCTAGTTCCTCTTTCACAAGGATTCAGACTAAATTATTTTTTAAGCTTTCTCACAGCTTTGTGTGAATGGAAAGTTTTTGATTTCTTGCCAGTGGCATATGCTTTGCTGTGTTGTACCTTAGTTTGAGCATCATTGAGGACACGAGCAGGCAGCTGACGAAGGCAGGCTACAATTTCCTCACTGGTGGATGAAGGGCATCCCACATCTTCAGCCAGGGCTGCTGCTTGGGTCTGTGCCCTCCTGGTAGTAATTATGGATGCTGGAGAAAAAGCTGAGCCTCCCTGTAAAAAAACCCCACAATATCAGTCAACATATGTTGTCAGAACACCTGGTTCCCTGGTGCAGGTACAAAAGATTAAAAGAAAAATCCTTCCACCTGCAGAACATAAAACCCTGGCTTTTAAATTAAAATAAGTGTGTTCTAAAGATCAAGGCAAAGGGGCGAAGGGTCAGTTAGGCTGTTTCCAGCTCTGTCACAGTTATTTTGGAAAAGCTTTAAGTGTCATAACATTATGTGTGGAACCAAATCAGAAATCTTTCTGAAAACTTTGGTGGAAGGAGAAACATTGAGTAGATACAAAGAGGTGCTGTGAGGCACATGAGGGAATGGAGAGCCCATGTTACAAGAGCAGACTAAATGGAGTTTTATCATAGCTCTGATAAACAAGGACTGAGAGCAGGTGTGATGTCCATAAAGAAAAGCTTTTTCTACCTTGGGACAATGCTGGTACAAGGACAAATGAGCACTAAGTATTCACATTGAGTGTAAATCAACTTCAGCCAGAAACCAAAGGTAACTAGCAGAAGGAGCAGGGAGGGTCTGGAAGTGCAATGAACTGAGGAAATAGGAACAAAAGACTAAAGGAAACTGCAGAAGATTAACCAGAGCATGAAGATCAAAACCAGAGCACAGGCTACAGTTCAATCTCTACCCCAGACTCTTTGTATTCTTTTTACAGTTGTAACATAGCAAGTGTTCTTAACAAGAAAGGATGGCACAACGTTTTTGAGTAAACATGGAAACTAGTTGCTGCAAATGCAGATAAATTAGTTTAAATCTGGTAAGATCTGACCTAGAGCAGAAAGGTTGGAATAGTGCTGACATGGTTCAAATGACTAATTTCCAAACATTTGCATCAGTTTACTGATAATAGCTGCTAAGATTAGCTTCTGTACTCTAAAAAACCCCACAACCTAGATGCACGATATGAAAGACCCTGATCTATTGAACTGATTAATGTACTTCTTACTGAATTTGCTCAAAGCATAACTACAAGTCTTGAAAAGCAAGTTAAAAAGAAACAAAAACCAAGCAGCAAATCTTTAAATTGAAATTGTCTCAAACCTCTGAGCCCAAAGAACTCTGTGAAGCCCTGGCAAGCATCCACAACATTTTTTATATTTCAAACAAGCAGAGCCATTGATTCTAATGGGATACCATTGCTCACAGCTGGAGAAATTGATTTCCAAAAATAGTGAGAAAGGCAACTTGGGTTTGGGTGTAGAGACAGTCTTTATAGTTCAGTGCATGCAGAACTTCCAGTGGTACTACCCTCCTGAAAGATTTGCCTTCTTTTTTAACAGATCTGGAAAACAAGCACTGTTATTAGCCTAATGATTGAGATGAAAATGGTTGCAGATAAGCAAGAGAGAAACCTAATTTTTGATCTGCTCCACTGTAAGAACCATCTTGAGTTTTAACAGAGTGGAAGAACTAAAGAAGAAGAAATAAACACCACTTGGTCTTATTCCTCAGTTCGGCACTCAATTTAGATGAGAACTCAAGTGAGCAATGGGCTTTATTCTCTCACAGGATTTGCAGTGGCTTATTTTGTGTTTGTAAGGCATGATATTTGCCAGCTGCTGACTAGGTGCACTGACTCAGCTGCTCATGGGAGAGAAAGAAAAATATCTTTGATGAGAGTATCTTGTCTGTGGGTGGGTTTCCAGCACACAGAGTGAGAACCATTTATTTTAACCTGGCCTTTGGAAGACCATGTTCATCAGAGCTGTGATGAGTGAGACTAGAAAAGTCTCACACCGTGTAAGCTTCCCTCAGAAAAGGAGTTTCCTTTCATTTCATGTGGAGTAAGGAATTATAAGCCCCCTCAATACAGCAAACAAATGAAATCCACTAATACCCACTAATCTGGCAAACATATTCTTCCACATCAGATCTGAACGTGTTCAGCATGCTTTATCAAGTATCCAGTACCTCCAAATGGCATTCATTTAAAACAAAGCAAAACAAAATCATAAAAAATTAAAGGACTTCAGTTTCCTGAACTCCAAAAGTTTCACGGATTTTGAAAGTGTCAGTTTTCGTGGAAAATCTGAAGTTGCCCTGTTAAAAGGCCAAGTTTGGTAGGGAAAGAGTACTGAAATCAGATGATATATGGAATCCAAAAATTCACTGGGACCAAGCAAAACATCCTTGTGTGTGCTTGATTTTGAACACATTTCCTCCTGGAGATTTTAAAAGCTGTGCAAAGTTTCCCCGTATCAGATATCTACAACCTGAAATATTGCCCTGAGGTCATGTACTGAGCAAAACAAAGACTGCAAATAGTTCTGAATAGAAGTGTCCCCCAAGTTCTCTACTGCAGGGGCAGATCTAAAAGCTTGGGCAGGCAAATCTTCATGTCACAGCACAGGATGTGTATGGGCTGGCAGAAGATACAGCCAAAGATCAATGAGTAAAACAAAACCCCCAAGCTTCAGCAAATTCATTTCTGAACGGAGAAGAGCTTGATGGAGCCTCAATTTGGCTGTGGATAATTTCTATTCTTTCTGTGAGTGGCTATAACAGGTTTATTTGCTCTTTAATTTTTCTTCCATTTTCCATGTTAATGGCCACTTCCTCATTTTGCTTTTTTTGGTAACACCCATATTCAGGAAGCAAGTCTTGCATCTGGGGTTTGAAAGAGACCAAATCTTTGGGGTTTGAAAGAGATGTGGAATCTACTATTATTCATCATGTTTAATTTTTGCTAGGACTGGAAGCAGGGGATAGAGAAACACGAGGCATCATTCAAAGAGTATTTGGAAACAATACCATTATGTTTGCTTCCAAGGTATATCCAAAATATGTTCAAGGCTTTACAAACGTGACTTCTCTTAGTTATGCAAGCAAAACTGTACCACTACTCTGCTTTACAAATGTACATCAAAATTCAGGGTCACTGTTTCTTCATTACTGTCAAAAAAACCCCAAAACCTTCAGGAACAAATAAGTAAGAATAGAAGCTGGTATTGCCTAGAACTAATTTTCTTTCTTTTTTTGAGCCTGCAGTTTTCACAATAAACAGAAATCTTCCCTAAACACTGAATTCATATTACAGGTGGACTCAGGACAGAGAGAATAACCGAGCTACACTTAGCAGTTCCCTCTTTTCCTAAAAAAAACTATGATTTATTTGTGTGATTAGTCCCAGAAACCAATAATGGAGGACTTGTGTACTTTAAAAAATAGTACTACTTAGGCAGAAGCAGAAATATTGGAGGGTCTATTTGTTTCCATTACATGACACCCAGATTACCATCAACATGACAGAATCATGAATCAGAAAACCAAAAATCATGAGATCAGCTCAAGAATAACAAACACTGTGTTCTTTTTGTTAGTCCTCTGGTTTTTAATTGTCCAAGAATTCTCTTGTACCCATGAACACAAGAGCTAAAAAATTTCCTTTTAAAACTAACAAGTGAAATCTTAGCTGTTTCAGCAGAGTTGTTTTTTGAAAGTGAACCTCTAAAAAATGACATATACAATAAAGTTGTAGTCATTAGTCACTTTGTCATCACTGGGGGATCATTTAGAAGTGATTTACAGGGAACTGAAGCCACACACACTTCTTGTTTTAGCTGTCCTTACATATGGACCCACAACAAGGGGGAAGAGGAAGAGAGACGAAGTTCTATTGACATTTTTGACATCGACCCGAAAGTGTTCAAAAGTGCTATGAAAAAGCAATTGCAGCTGTGTTACACAATCCACAACAGCAATGTTACACTGCTCTCCAAAATTTATAGGAATAGGAGGAATTTTAGAGTGTTGAGCAATAGCACCTACTGCAACAAGTGATGGCATTGAAAATGGGAGGCAAAGCCTTCGGTACTATTTAGTTCAGGGACCAGGAGTATTGCCAGCATTTCTTAATTTCTCTTTTCAGTATCAGAGGTTCAGATACACAATAGAAATTCAGATACCAGGAAAGGTTGCAGCTCACAATGGTGAGAAGCTGATGAATCAGTATTACATGAAGGTGAATTCTCACTTTGTTATCAGGCTGTGACCAGCTGAGCTGGGGCTGGTGCCTCTTGCAAATGTTTCTTTTGGGACATCAGAGCTCAACAGCCTTTCATTGGTGCTATCTCAGCTATCCCACTTCTTCCTTCACAAGCTCTTGCTGCTATTCTGATGAGATGATAAAAAAGAATATACAGACCTCTGTTTGGTTTGTGTGGCCATGTTTTGGTAGTGAGAGAGTCTAAATGAAATAATTGCAGTGTTGTGAGGAAGAGTGAGAGTGGAAAATCCCAGATGGCCATAATCATGCTTTACTTCTCATTATCCTGCTCTGTTTAATTGGTAATAAATTAAACTAATTAAAATTAATTAGTTTAATTTCCCTGTCTGTGCTGGTAACCAGTGGGTGATCTCTCCCTGTACTTATCTTGACCCATGAGATTTTAATTTTATTTTCTCTCTTCTTCTAGCTGAGGAGGGCAGAGCAGGTTTAGTGGGCAGCTGGTGTCCAGGCACAGTGAACCCACCACAGAGCTATCACTGTACTCTGTACCTTTCTCTCACAACATATCTGGAAAAGACAATTGCAATATAAGCTGCAGTGCTGAATGTCTTTTGATTCCTTATTTAGTTTGGAAGCTCACTTCTGCAAAATCTTTCAAAAATTATTCAGAACACATCTAATGATTAGAAACTTCCCTGGAACTAGATTTTATCACCCACACTCTGCAAACCCAAATGCAGCTTCCTCTCCTCACATCACAATCTTTTGTTTTTTTCCCAAACTGACTTGAAAATGAAATTATTTCTTGTCTCCTCAACACACACACTCCCTGCAAGTGCATGGGGTTTCTCTGATGGCTGCAGCCAGAGCAGGCTCTCTGTGTGCCCTGAACCATGCTATAGGCAATGCAAACAGCAGTTACAGTAACATCACCAAAAAGATCAAAAGACATCTAATGCAAACAGTCAGAGCAAGGAAATGTCCTGAGAATTCTATTTTCCCAAAAGAGCCAGCTGTACAGCAATATT